ACCCGTTATCCGGAAATCAGAAAACCGGAAGACCAAAAAACCGGAACGAAATTCGATTAGTTTTTCGCCATTTTTTAAAAAAAATATTTTTATCCTAATAAGATTTTAGGATTTTTCGTTCTTTTTTGAAAGATGTTTACCTTTCCATCATTTTGGAAATAATCATTAGTGTATTACTTCATCGTTTTTTCTTCTTTTTAAGATTATTTGTAATTTTTTTTTTTTAGTTGGATTTAACTATAAAAAAACGGCATTTTGTAGCGATTCAGAAAACCGGAAAAATCAGTTATCCGGAATATCGATGGTCCCGATCGTTCCGGATAATCGGTTCCGTACTGTAGTTAAGTGCTATCTTCAACTAATTCTTCATAATTTAGATTTTCATAAGTTCTATTCTCTGCAGTTAATTATTTTTTCTTAATTCATTTTGTCAAGAAATCAGAACTGTTTTTACATTTTCCCTCTAAAATAAACCAAGAATGATTAGAAGGTTGAAGCATGGTAAAAAAAAAATTATGAAAAATAAGAATTTGAAGTTATCATATGATTTATAAATTTATTTGAATTATCCTTTTTATTATGAAATAATCATAGTTTATTATTAAAATTTTTTGTATTTAAATAGATATTAAGGCAAACATACAGTAAGGCAATTATCTACTATATTCATAAAATTTCATCATAAAACTTCTCAATGACGCACAAATAATCACAGAAAAAAAATAACATTGTTAGTAATGAAATAAAAGATCATAGTCAATTTTATATACCTTCCAAATTCTTTTTCCTAGCAATAATAAAATAATTAAATAATATTACATAGTTTACACAGACAGAGAGTGTATATAGATACATAAAGCATGTAACAAAAATGATAAGCAACATGCTACATTAGAATATTTATGTATATACACAGCCATAAAAATAGAAAAGTTATTAAATACAAACTTGAGGAACAGTCTCACTTTCAGAAAGTGAATGATTTTTGATTTCTTTTGAACCTTTAGAGACTTTTTCACATATACTAACAACCGTTTTATTGAAGTCACGGAATTTATCTGCATATAAATGATGTCCGGCACCTTCAATTAACTAGAAAAATAAAATAAACATAATTAAAATCAAGTGTTTTACAACTAGCAGTTAATTAAACCAATAAAATTACGTTTTTACAAAAAATATTATAGAAGAAACTATTAGTGTGACATTTGCAAATTTTTAGAATTCTTTGGTTTTTGGTTTAAGAAGATAATAGTTAAATTTGTGTAAGACTCCAAGCATTATTCACAGAACAAAAAAAAAACTATAATGTCTAACATACTCTGGGCATCAATAAGCACAAGAAAGTTTATAACATTCTTTGAAAATAACATGTTGAAGGGCACATACTACCCAATAATAAAAAAAAATTCTCATAACATTACTTCTTTCTTAATTAATAATGTTACTCCATAAATACTTTTTAGTGCTAAAGACATCCATTTTAAAAATATGTTTTACTTATTATTTCTACCTTATCAAAATGTAATAAAAAAAGATGCTAAAATAACGGAGATTTTACTAGGGACATTTTTTGGGGGCTACGAGTAAAGTTTTGATACATCAGGCATAATTATGTTAAGTCAAAATTTATACAGTAATTACATTTAGCAAAATAAAAATTATGTATATAAATCTTAATCTAAAGATTTTTTAAACCATTATTTATAATTACTTAAACTATAAACATTCAACATGCAGCAGTACTGGCAATAGCGCCATCTATTGAGGAATAAGAGAAATATTCTTGCCATCAGTGGATATTTTATCACCAATTTTTTTTGTTCAATTTCTTTAACAAATATGAAGAAATTTGAGAATTACAGGTAAACGGGAAATAGTCGCAAAATACAGGAGTCTGCCGTAAAAAACAGGAGACTTGGCAGGTATGCTCTATTCTTTGATAGTCAGTAAAAATATCTTTCGAATAAAAGCTTTAAAATAAAATAAGAATTTTGCAATAATCAGTGGATTAAAAATATCAAATGTTTCAATCCACTAATGTTAATTGCCAAATAATAATTTATTTACCTTTCGTATAAATTAAGCAGCATGTTGGTAAATTGTATGGTTGACGTCTGCAGTGTCATCTTTCTAACGTTAAGTAATTTGCTTTTCTTGTAAGTTTTAAGTAGATTGTTACCTCTGATGTTTTTCTAAGTTTATATTTACGTTTTATCTCAATCAGTAAGCCTTCTATTATAAAGGATGCCTTGAATCTTACTTTTTGCCTACTTGTGAAGAAAAATTAAACAACTTTAAGACTTCTATAAACTTTGTAATAAATATAAATTTTTAATGTTTAAATGATTTTAAGCATAAAACTTTAAATGGAATGACTTATTTGTTTAGCAACAATTTTCATTAAATAAAAAGAAATACTTTTTGGGAGAAAAGAAGTTTTAAAAACTTTTTAAAAATGGAAAGGAATTATTATCTTAAATTTGGTTATGGAAAGAAAGAATGATTTGATTGCTAAATAGAATTTAATGACACAAGTGACTATATTTCCTCAAACATAACTGTGAATGTACTAAAATTAAGCAGTGTAATACAGCAAAAACCAATACAAAAGTAAAAAGTACTATAAAAATAAAAGTAGACAAATCCAGGATGAGTAACAAAGACTTTACTTTTTTTGATAATAAAAAAAAAGAAAATATAACGCAATTAGATTTGAAACTAAAGGTTTCCTCTAATATTACAATCTAAATTTATTTCCAATAAAATATAGAAAAACTATGAAAGTATTACATACTTTCACTTCCACAATGGAATCAGCACGAATATCGCAAATATGATGTCCAGATTTACTGTCTATCCATGAACGTGAGCCATAAATAAAACTGATGGGAACATCTTGTCTAAGCATAGATATTCTTTTTATCATAGGTCGTTTAGCCCATCCAAATGGAGCAGACATAGCTTTAAAAGCAGTTTCACCACTGAAATAAAAAAATTAGTATTTTTGGAGGCAAAACAAAAACTATCCTTACTGTTATTACACTTTAGATTAAAAAAAGTTTAAAAATATGCATAATGCACTCTAAAAGTATGTTTATAAAAACTAGATGTTTAAATTAGATACAAGAACATAAAAATAGGTAAAATGTGTCTCAGAAACACACAAGTAATTTGATGCCACAGTCCAATTTCAAGGAAAATATAAATAAAAAAATCATGTTCAATAATATTGATTTAAACCTACTCAGCAATTGCACCCAATTTTCGAAAATAAACCAAAAGTATCTCAATTCCAAAAGAAAAAAATAACGTTTTTATAGCAACAGTTATTATTTTCTATTGAATATGATCAGATATGCGGGCAGTTTGAAATGTTTTCTGTCAAGATTACAGATAGAGAAACCACCGGTTGTGCCAATTTTAAGCTGAATTGTGTGAACATAAATAATCCATTGGTAACACTTTCTTATACAACTCAAATTTCTGTTAAGGATAATCAAGTAATAATGGCACATAAATGTAGTACAGTGAGAAAATAAGATTTGAAATATACATTAATATTACAACTATTGTTATGAAGGATAATCAATAGATAATGGGGCATAAACAAAATAGAGACAGAAAACAATGTTAGAAATATAGATTGATATTAGAACAAAATGGCAAATTGAAGAAAGGAATGTTTATATCACCATTTTTCCTTAATTTTTTTTTCTACTTCAAAATAACTATTGTGAATAAATAGAATTTCACACTCGGATAATTTCATTTATAATGTAATCTTCAAACAATGAAAATCTCAATTCAACATTTAAGTACATAAAAAAGAAGAGGGATTATAATAAAGTGTCACATAATAGTTAAAAATCAACTTAAGAGCAATAGCTGTACATAAATAGGACTAAGTGCCAAATTTAATTCATATTTCATAGGTTTATTTTAATATTCAAGTATTACTCTTTGTAGAGTGTTAGACAAATAAAATTACCCTATATTAAGGGTGGCAAACCTATAGCATGTACTGTCCGGAGAAGCACACAAAAGATTTTTGAAGTCACACTGCAAAAAGTGTGATTTTTCTGAGTGCTCTAGTTAGCTCGTTATAACTGAAGAGAAAAATCTCTAAAATTAAATCATTAATTTTTATTTTTGAATATTGAACATTCATTAAATGCTCAACAATAAAAATGCAATAAATATTACTGAAATTACTTTTTTTTAAATTTTTTTTTTCATTTTAAGCAGGTTTTTCATATTTTTAATTAAAATTATTACAACTTACTATATTTTTAATTTTTAGCACCGAACAGTAAAATGTTTCATACATCTACCATATACTATACACTGATAAAATATATAATGATACTACTAAAATAGACAAAACTTTAAAAAAAGCATGAGTAATTAGTAATATTATGAAACATTTCATTCAATTAATATTACCAGCATAATTTATGATATCCGTAATGTATATTTGAGTGGCTTATTAAAACTTAACAAACTTCATAATGAAATAAACAGAAAAAATAGCTAAACATTTAAAAAAAACTTTAAACAGGAGAAATATAACAATTTTCATTACTGTAATTCATAAAATAAATTATAACACACAAATTAAGGTTTAACTGTTTATTTTGTCTTCGTCAAATACAACTCTATAATGTTTAGAATTAAGATAGTGTAATACTTTTTGCATATAATTCACATATACTAACAGATTAACAACATAATCAAAATTATTATGCATAAAAAATAAAGTAATTTGAAAAATACATTACAGAGAATGAATTTTTTTATACAAAGATAAAATTTAAATTAAGATAAAAGGTAAGTAATTTAAGAATGAAATTGACAAGAAATTATTCATAGGTAAAGCATTAATCAACATTTAAATGAGACAAAACAATTACCTTGGATACTGAGCATTGCAATGATAAATATAATCTGAAACCTCTTCTGGTTCAGCACAACTCTTAAATTTATGTAAGAGATCAGGTCGTAAACGACTGACAAGTTGTGGTCCTACAAGCAAATGGATAAAATTTAAAAAATATAAAAGTAAAATTTTCCGGAATCATTACAAAATCTGATTTAAATAATATTTTCTTTATAATCTGTACTTTTCTAAACACATTTTTTTATACTCTAGAATTTACAAAATTAAGCGTTTATTTTACATTAAATGTTTATTGATTTAGCTTGGCAAACCGTTTTTACAATAAATAGAATATGTTAAGCTCTTTAATACTGTGGTTTCAGTTTGTAAAAAGAAAATCTTATTGAACATACCAAAGTTTTAAAATAGATGAAAAATTTAAATAATAGAGCTAATAAAATAATAGAATGATAATTGCTTGTTAAAGTTTATATTTCTGGTAAATATCAGTAACACAATAAATTCGACAATTTTAATTATTAAAATGCAAAACCAATAATGCTTTTGCAAAATGTTTAAATTTTATAACATTGTCAGGTTACGTATGAAAAAGAAATAATTACAGTGTTGGTTGAAACATTTTTCAAGAATATACCTAATGCTCAGTGGCAAATGAATGAAAGCATAATTTAAACAGGAACCATGCTTTCTATGTGAAAAAAACAATATTGCTTACATTGGTTATTCAGAATGAGATTCTTCAAATGAAGAAAGGGTAATAATTTGTACTATAAATGAATAAAGCTAAATAACGTGAAAAAATAAAAATAATGCCACAAAAGTTATACAATACATAGTATAGTTTTGATTTCACAATCAAAAAGCTTATAAAACCAAAACCATGACATTATTTGTGTTTATATTGTTTGGCAAGATTCTATAAGACTCTTGTTTGGCAAGTTTTGCGAATTAGATGCAAGATTGCTAAGTAGAAAAACTAAACAGAACAAATCTTTAAAAAAAATTTAACTAAGCAATACACTAAGTAATTTTTCAAAACTTGCCTAACATATTGCAATAATGTTAAACATTCTATGAAGCAATATAATATTACACTATGCCATTTCTTAAACAAAAATGAATTTGATAATTCCATTAAGAGAAAAATACAATGAAGTCAAAAATATCATAGAAACTTGATGCATGTTTTAATTTTAAAAAAGAAATAAATTCTCTATGTAATTAAAACAATTTAAAACGTAATTTATTCTGTTTTTGCTTTGTTTTTTGTTATTCTTACATTATTACAATTGATTTGAGATATAATCATCTTCTGCAGCAATTCAATTTAAAATTTTAGAAATGCTCTACCACCAGAAATAATTGAAGTATGTATAAATATATTTACAGTACTATAAAATCAAATAATTCTATGAATAAATTAATAATTACTGAAGACGTAGTTTAACTTCATCTATTAGCAGCACCTTTACATTTAACTTAAACCACAAATGGATTAATTTTCATTAAACAGATTAGTTTTCAAGCTAAATAAAAAACTTGGATCAATTTTAGCTTTGTACTTTTTAATGATAGCCTTTTCCTTAAATTGATTTTTAGCAAAAAACGAAATAAATTATTCCTAAATAAAATCTGAAATAAATAGCCCAATCCAGAAGACAATGGAACTCCTGGATCAAACATTGAAAGAAACTAGCCAAGAATCATTGCCCGATGATTAGCCTGATGGCAAAGGGATTCTAACCAATGACCCGTCAACCATTGAGGACATTTTACGGTCAGTGTGAGCCAGGAGCATGATTTGTATTAACCAGCTACAGCTTGGACGATTTGGCCACCATGAGGTATAAATAATTAAATCAATAATACAAGACTTTATAATAGGGTAGTGAAGATTTTAAAGATGTGAATAACTATATAAACATGACTTCAATTAGGATGTATAATAATAAATATTTCAAAATTTCCCCAATATATAAAGAATACTAAAACTTATTTTTCAAGAACATACTCTATTTTTTAAAAGAAAATATATGAAATGAGATAGCTTTAACAGTAAATTTTATAATTAATAAGTTTTATAATGAACTAACTAAGAGAAGAAAAATTATTAATTATATATTGGGTTTTCATATGAATTATGCAGGTATACTCTGGGAACATGATTAGCTTTTTTAAAGATGTGAATAACTATATAAATATGACTTCATTTAGGATGCATGGGAATAATACACATATCTAATAATAATAAATATTTTAAAATTTCTACAGGATATAAAGATTACTAAAACTTCTTTTACCAGAACGTACTCTTTTTTTTTTAAAGAAAATATATGAAATGAGCCAGCTTTAACAGTAAATTTTATAATAAATAAATTTCATAATGAGCTAACTAAGAGAAGAAAAATTGTTAATTATATATTGGGTTTTCATATAAATTATGCAGGTATACTCAGGGAACATGACTAGAATAGGATTTAATTTGCCAGTAAAAGAGATAGGTATATTTTGCTCAATGAAATTTGAAGGCAACAATCTAAAAGCGAATTTAAAAATTATCAAATTAGTAACAAACAAAAAATAATCACATTTTCAGTAAGTAGACAGTGGCTGGTAGACTCTAATAATTAAATAGCTCCTTTTTGTGTCAAACCCAATGATTCAGAAATTAATATTGATACAACCTTTTAATTTAATAGCCACGTTTCGCAAACATTTTTTTTGCATGGATTAAAATGCATTTTATTTAAAAAAAATTATATTAGAACTAAATTATTATTTTTTTTTTTAATGGTGGGCTCTTGGGGGTTGTCCCATTGGCTACAGAAATGCCAGAACTGCTACTCTCTTCTCGCTACACAGTGGGCACCTGTGGTGCCCACGTCACACAATCACAACCCGTTTATAGGACGGGTCACATTCACACACAAAGGAGAAAGGACATAGAACACAGAGAGAAAGAAATATCCATGCCCTGAGCAGAATTCGAACCCGCAAATAGCGGCTTCGCAATCAGGCACGGTAACCACTCGGCTACCAGGTTGGCTAGAACTAAATTATAGGTATAAACATTTAACTTAACAATAAAAAATAATATAAATATGTAACAAAATTTAGATAATAAAGAATTTAGTTAAACATAATGAAATATTTGGGGAGGTTAAATACATTTAATGTGTACATTACTAATTTGAAATATGTGAATTGTTAAAGAACTCTCTTTCCACATGACTATAACTATAATTTCCATTATAAATTGATGGATTCCATTTCAGATTGATGGAAATTCAGTTTTTCAGAATTTTCCTTAAAATGTCCAATGTCCAGTCTTTCTACATCAATGTACTTTCATCATTTAATGATTTTCAAAGAAAAAAAAAGTGACTGGTAGTTTATTTCAGTCGTCTCTGTATTTTCTTGACTCAGCACATAGCGAGCGGTTATTTTCAGGACCAATAAACAACACGCTTTTTCTTTCAAAATTAGTATCTTCAAAACAGGAGAATATTAAAACTGATTAATCTAAGCAATGCAAATCACCACAAATAAAGTATACATACAAATTAAAAAAAATTATTTGATATTCTTGAAAATGAAATTTTTGAAAATATAAATAACCTTGCAATTAAAATTACAATCAAACCAAGCATCAAGATCAAATTCAATAAATGGAAACTGAAAGAACATTTATTGGATAAGTCTTGTTCTGGAAGATTAATATCACTAAAAGTTTGAGAGCCAATGTAAAACAAATTCTATAGCAACAGTAGAGGATCTGTTCAGAAAGATTGAATTTTGTTACTAAATCATTCTTAGTCACAAGCACTTCCGCTAAAAAAAAGTAGTTAATGGTGTTATATAAACCATTTTGTCTAATTGTAAACAAAAACAAACTAATATATATTATGAAATGACTTAACATAATACTTCAAACATTATATCTTTAGTAAATACTACTTTAGTTCTATTTTGTAAGAAAAAAAACATTAATACTGTAAAATCATTAGAGCATAAGCTACATTATTATTGCACTTTAAAGTAACAACTTTTAGTGGCAAAATTAAATTATCATTTAATTAAATTGAAAAAGTATATATAACAAACCCCAAGGTCCAGCTGCTCTTAATCCAGCAAGAGGATTAAAGGGCCTGAGCATAGCTGCAATAGCTTTAGCCCACATTGGAAACTCCACTTTTTTTACTCCTGAATCAGGAGTAGGAAATCCCCAAGGATCAGCTAAAATTAAATGTTTCACATGATCAGGATATTTAATTGCATAGGATGCAGCAAGAAAGCCTCCCATGCTATGGCCAAATAGAATAAACTGAGATAATCCCATTTTTTCTCTCCATTTTTCTATACCTGTAAAATAACAACAATGTATTACAGCATGAAAAACATTATATATATATATATATATATATATATATATATCAAGCATGCAACTGTAAATTTTCGACTTAGTTCAGGTTACAACTTAGTTGGATTTTCACCCTAAAACCTCTTTTTGGTTAAGTTATTCAACAGAAAAACTGTGTACAATGAAATTTTGCATTAGTGTAAAAACTAACTATAATAAACAATTAATATTATCTAACAATATTTATTGATGGGGAACTGAGTATAACAAGTTTTTAAAACCAGAAAAGAAACTTGAAAACTTTCAGTATAGGTCTTTGCCAATGCTATGTTTACGAAACCATGCGTGAATTTTATAATAAGATTTGAATTTATATTAATGCGTAATTTTACCATCTATTAGATCTATTTGTATTTCATAAATTTTAAAAAGGTCATAAGACATAATCGATTTAAAGAAATTAATAGCATCACATAAATAAAATATTATGGTCGCCATGCTTTCTAACTTTAACAAATTAATGTCAGATTTTTAAGTTTTCAGCTAAAATTAAATGGATTTGCAAATTCAATATTAAATAGCATAAGTCATATTGTAAACAGTTCAAGTTGATTTAAAATATAGGATGACCTCAAAGAATAAACTTTGATGCCAGTTAAATCTAAAGCGCTGTTTTATGTTGAATTTTAAGAGAAAAAATAAAGTATTCATAAATAAAATGGACATGTAAGTTAGATATTCAAAGTTCATCAATTGTTTATTATGGAGTTTTTAAAATAAAATATGTAGATAAATTAAGAAATGGCATATTTTGAATAACAAAAGTTATTGGATTGGCACTATAAAAGACCTGGTACGAAATGATCACATTAATTCACTTAAAGCAGTCGATTAAAATAAATAGTTTTTTATCTGTTTTTATACAATTTTTAGGCTGCACCTGAAGCTAGATCTGAGGTTATAATTAAAAAAGTACATTGTATATTGATTTGTTTAACAAGTAAAATTTTTAAGAGGATCAATCATTAATACATCACCATGTGCAAAATTGTTTAGAAAATTTTCTTATATAAACATGAATAAAATAAATATTCATTGTTAATTCACCTAAATTAGCAAATATAATACCACTTTCTCATGTCTCACGTGAGACAATATGATTAAAGAATTTAATTATAAAATTTTTAGGAAAATAACTAAGTTTTAAACTTACATTATAATTTCTGAATCTCATAAGTTTAGTTCATAAATTATAGGTCATTAAATACAAATATTCAATTTTGATATTATGAGCCATAACTTCATAGGATTAAAAAATTAGAACAAAAGATTTTAGTCACAATCATGAATGAATGATGAGTCTTCTTTTATTTATTTCACAAAATTATATTTCACTCATAAAATTGTATTTCACAATATAAAACTTGTTATTATTCAAAAGAAAGGAAAATATTGTAAAATAATAAATTTATAACAATAATGAAGTAATAAAAATATATATACAGATAGATATTTTTTAAAAAGCCAACACTTTTTATAGTATTTTATCTTTGCTTGCCATTGGCAAAAACCATGCAATTTATTTATTTATATTGTATAATGTATCAATCTCCACATAATAAATAAACTTAGCAATGAAATATGCATGTTTATATGAAAAACATATAAATTTAAGCAGCAAGAAGTCATAAATTATTTTCTCTTCCTTGTATTGCTCCGCTGTTACTAAGAAGCAAGCTTCTAACAAACTATTCATAACAATGCTATCAAAGGGTTATAGAAAAACAGTCACATCAAGTACACGTATGTTTATTAAAAAAATTCATGCTTTAAAAGCACATAAAGAGAAAACAATTTTTGAAATTCTGTAAACCAAAAAAACACAGTTAACAAAAAGAAAATTACACATAAATCTCCATAAAAAGAATAGTAAATTTTGATTTTATATGTACATATTTATAGTGATTCCCATTTTTATACTTGAAATTATTATCAGAAACAGAATAGAGCCTATTATTAAACTTAAAATATTAAGCAAAATTGCAGTTGTTGTGTAACAAGGAATAATGGCTTAAAATATAACAAGTCACACTGAGTTTGCTTAAATTTATATGCAATTAAGCAAATAATCTAGAAATATTTTAAAAATTTCACAAAAAAAGAAAATTGAAAATATGGCTATAGTTTTTTTTTTCATAAACATATCACATTTTGCTTTATAATTTTAAGACTTTTTGGGCAACTAATAATGAACCTGATATGGATAAAAATTTATCCCAATAGGTATCAAAATTATAATCTCTCTTTAAAGGCTGTCAACATTCAAAATGTTTGAGAAAATGTAATTAAGTTTACTTTTTAGCAAACAATTATAAATTTGAAGCAAAATAGGGAAATAATAATACTGACTAAATATAACAATACAAATTTTTTCACAGCTAAAAAAATTTTACTCAAGAAAATACAAGGTTGTTAAAAGGGATAAAGGACAGTTTCAAAGTTACAGTTTAGAAAGAGTAGCTGAAAATTTAAAAAAAAAAGGAAATTCATACAAAGAAGTTTTCGTCTTAATTAACATTTAATGAAAAACAGAACCTGTATTATGTGTTATAATCCTGATTACTATCAAGTTTTTAGTTTTTTTTACTCACGCAAAACATTTTTTTCTGCACAAATTCTAAAGTACATTTTTAAAAAAAATCCATTTTGAAAACATTTCAGTAGTTTGTTTCTCTTGTTTTAACTCATATTTTAGTTTTTACTTTGGCATTTAAAAATAACCTTCAAAGTCTGATTTTTTTTTGTCACACACTAAAAATAAATAAATTCAAAAAGTTAAAATTTGACTTAATTTCTTTCACACAGAAATCATTGGTTTTGATTATAAATAACAACTATTTGAATACTTTAAAAAACAGATAGATTTAGATCAGATGGAATACATAAAAAGCATACTTTCTATTAGTTGATTTTCAGCAATTTCAGCATCCTTACTAAATGAAGGACGAGAACTATGGCCAAATCCCAAAATATCTAATGCATATAATGGGCGTCCTTCAGCAAGATCATCAATATTTAATATCCATAGACCAATGCCTGATGCAAAACCATGAAGAAGAACCAACGGAACTTCTTTCTCTAAATCAGAATTGATAGTGATTGTTCTTATGGAACAATCTTCATTTTCATGCTTCACTGACACAAAAGAGAGTTCATATGGTTTTTTCATAACTAAAAAAAGAAAAAAATTACTTAACATCAAAACACAATAGATCTCTATACAGAGTGTCTTATAGTAACTGTCTTTAATATATATTTTTACTGCTATAATATATATCATTACAGTCTACACATTAAAGGTCTTTTGTATCAATCATCGAACGAGAAAGTAATTTTGATTCATCATTGGTTAGAGCTTAATTTGTAATTGCTAATTACAAAAATAATCGTACAAAATATATTTAATTACCCTGTTTCTCATTTAAATCAATTTAAATAGAGAGTTTTTCCTACCAATTAAATATTCAACTCATTTCAGAACCATGCATAGAAAAATTGGCGTCCATTTAAATTAAGCAAAATAAAGCAAATTTTATAAAAATATAATCATTTAAAAATAAAGAAGAATGCATATAAAACATCTTACGAGAGAGCAGTTTTGCTTCTGCATTGGTTAGAGCTTCATTTGAAGTGGGGCACCAACGAAACATATCTGTAAACCAGGTGAAGATGGACTTATTAATCATAAAAATATAGGATAACCCAGTTAAACTAGATGCTGTTACTAACAAAGTTTGAATCCTAGAATGAAAAATGAAAGAATAAGTATTTCTCATAAGTCAATAAAATTTTTAAATAAAGAATATTTTAGAAACAGAAAAGATTTAACTAAAAATTTATATCAAGATATTAAATGAAAAAACTATCTAAATTTAAAACTTAATGAACAGTAAGCTAAAAATATTTATGACGTAATGTAGTTCAGGGTTCGTAGTTGACCTAAGAAATAAACCAAAACGACATTTTTAAAATATTACTAATTTTTTTAGAATAAGCTAATTATTCTGCACTCAATTCAAGGTTGTGGTATTAAAAAATTACCAAATGTATAAAGATTTTTATTTTCTAAGAAAAGCATTAAATTAGATAATTTAGCTTTTAAATGTTAGGAAATATGTTAACACAAAAACAATTTTTTTTAATAAGCCCAATGTCATAAATTCCCCTTACAAAATAAAACCTATTTTTTTAAAAAATTATTTGACATGAAAATTTGCCAATTTCACATTAAAATATGCCATCGAAAATTCAATCATTACCAAACAATAATAAAATTATTAACCATATAGTGCAATTCTTTGTAATCATATTCCTTTACTTTATAGATCATTCAAATGTTTGTTCTAATAACCAATAATCAAATAATTATAAGTGTCAATTTAATTCTTTAGTTTATTATTAAAAACATTAACTGAGAATGAGCGTATAATTTAAAATGAGCTTTTTTATAGCTCTAAATACAGTTGATCAGACTGTTATTTCATTTACCTTGGTTCAGTCATTGTTTTTTCATAATGGGGCAAAGTTATCTCTTTTATTTAAAGAAGCAAAATCATCTCTTTTATTTAAGCAAATTCTTATTTTAAAAATTCAGCACATTCTTATTTCAAAATTTCAGCATTCTTATTTTAAAAATTCAGCATATTCTTATTTTAAAAATTCAGCATATTTTTTTTTAACAAAAAGAAGAAAAAAATTCTTCTACTTCTTAAATAATATGTTCAAAAATACCTAACCTGTGATCAGGATTCTAACATGGTTTTTGCGTGTGTGACGCATGTATTAACAATTATAGGTACTTACGTATTAATGCCACCGCAGCTACAGATTTGGCGGTTTTTAAGTGCCGCCAAGTTACACCTAAAGTTTTTGCGACAAATCATAATATGAAACACTTTATTTAATATCAAAGCACTTTCAAAATTCAAAACACTTTATTTAAAATCAAAGTAGTCAATCAGATTTCGGTGAAAAATGGGCCGATAACATAGATTCAAAACAGTCTCTATTTTCTTTCACCTGATGCTGTCACCATATAAACTCTAATAAATAAGATTCCAAATGATGCTAACAACAAGGCAACAAGGAATCCAAAAGATAACTGCGTGCGAACAAGAGGATTGCTCTTTATTGGCGTAGAGCAAATTCTGTTGCAGTGGCGTTAGTACGTAAGTACCCAATTATACTACTGCTGCGGTGGTGTTAGTACGGAAGTACCCAATTATACTATCAGAAATATCTAGTTTTAAATTCAAGAAGATCAAAAGTCATTTTTATATTTTTTCAAACCTTTAAATAATATGTCTATAATAGAATGCCTGTGATGAAGATTTTAACTTGAATTTTTGCATACATGATGTGATGTATTAACAATTATACTATCAAGGCAGTCTATTATTAAATTCAAGTTTTTTTTTTCTTGTTTCTTTTAACAGCATGTAAAAACTCTCTTCATTATAATAAAGGAAAAAGGCTGTTTATGAACAGTTATATTATGTATAAATGCTAATTTTTTTATGAATTTTATTTAAGGTCAGTCAGACACTTATTTAATAAAAAATAGAGCATTAAAAATATTTGATAATTGTAATTTGAACAAACCTAAGATAAGAACCTTCTTAAGATAAGAAAAGTGTATAATTGTGTGTTTGTGATTATATATATATTTTTTTTAAGATATTATATCAACTCTAAGTGAAATTATGTTACACTGCTATAAGTTTTGATTAAGAATCACTTTCGACACTTTTCACAATTATATATCAATGCTTATTTAAAGTAACACAAACTCAGGATAGATATTTAAGAAAAAAAGACATTTTTATAAGAAAATTTACTGTTTTTTTTTCTCATTTTATGTTTAAACTAAAAGTATTCATAAATATAATAGCAAAATTAAGTACTTAAAAAGATATTTTTCTTTTTAAAACACAGGCTTCATTTTCCTTAACCCACTGACGGTTCTGCACGTAAAAAGTCGCATTTTAAGCTGCAGTCATCTCTGTATAGCAAAACCGGTTTTCCCATGTTAATAGATAGGGGAACTGTGTGTAGGGGAGAAACATTCTCCCAATTTTGCCCATTTCCTTAACCGCCAGTGGGTTAAAGAAAAATCCATTTTGTTTAAATTAGCCCATCTTGATTATACAAATATGATAATTCACTTTTTCAAGTATACAAAAATAATAATTGATTATTTGAAAATTCCTTTAAAAATTATTTTAAAGGCTGAAAGACAAATTTAAGTTATTAACCTAACATATTTACTGTTACAATAATAAGAAAAATATAACATTTCTACCGTAAGCACTCATCCAATTGAAACATTATCTTTATTTTTTAAAATCAAGAAACAATTTTTAAAAAAATATTTTATATATATATATTACATTGATATAATTAAAAACATGTATGTCAAAAATTAACCCTGTTGGTTAAGTAACATATATTTTTGATGTATCCATAAAAAGTAATTAATTTAATTTGTGTCATTATGCAGAATTATAAATTTATTCTAAAAATGGGAATGTTTCTGTAATGTGATTATGAAGAAGGAGGATTCAGGGTGCCATTTATGTTGAGATGGTGGAATATTAAGGTGTGGGTGGAATTTGTATTGGTATGGTATATAGTTGAAGATAATAATGCAAACAGAAGATGATGAAAATAATACTTGAACCAGATCAGAATTAATAAAAAGCTTTTATTTCATAGTATATTTGCAGAGCTCGAGATACCAAATANTATTTTGACAGGTTTTTTCCTTTCTTAGCTTCTAGTGATCTATGCATTAAACCCATAAATCAACAGAAAAGAGAACAGAAGATCTACCAAGACTGTATCGTTAGTAACGCTCCTTCTCTGGAATGCAGGAAAGGGGGGGGAGATTTGTTTTTAAAAGAGCACAATTGAGTCCCCTCCCCCCTTCTTTCCTGTGCAGCTGGCTAGTAAAAGAGGCATTTCCTGGAACCTTTTTGATAAAGTGTTAGAGAAAGAAGTACTGTGAAAAAGGGTAAACACAGCAAACGTTAAAGTGGAGGGGGAATCCCCTTTAGTCACACAAGAAAAAATAAAGAGAACCCAATCAGCATGCCACGCCTTTATGCTTGATTGATAGCCAATGACAGGAGAGAAAATAAGAACTTGTCACTTCCCCCCCTTCAACTTGAATGACAAGTAAGAAGGAAATGAATTTTGCTTCTTCACCTACCCACCTTAATGAATGAATGACGGGAATTTCCCCTTCTTGCTTGAAACGTTCTAGTTCAAAATGGCGGAGAGAGCAATTAATATTTTCATAACTGTAAATTTTTTTAGTTTCCTATATTTATTTTTATAATAGCAATAATTATTTTTTTTTAAATATTTTGTTTTTGATTGATTAGATATCATTCTAATACTAAAACATTATTGCCCGAAAAATAATGTTATTTAATTTCTGCTTCTTAGATTCAGATCATTTTAATCTCTGTTTACCTTGGGGGTCTATTATAGGGAAAAATCGATTATCCGGACTTCGGAAAGTCCCGCCGATTCCGGATACGCGACTTTCCACTGTAGTTAAAGATAATAATGCAAACAGAAGATGATGAAAATAATACTTGAACCAGATCAGAATTAATAAAAAGCTTTTATTTCATAGTATATTTGCAGAGCTTGAGATACCAAATATAAATATTATCCATAAGAATTTCAGTTGAATCAATTTTGTATAATAATATTAATAAGGACAGGCCATGGGAGACAAAACCCCCACAACCTGCCTAATCAAAAGTCAAATTAAAAAGTAGATGTAATTTGTTCCCAACGGCGGTAATTTGTGTCCAAAATTGGCGAATTATCAAAACATAACATAGCCAAAACAAAGCCAACCAGCATATCAATATTGGGTTTGAAAGAATACCTTGGCAATTACGAGTCGCCAACAAATTTATCAGAATTATTACAACCATGCAACTGAAACATATTTTCAGATAGAAAATTTAAAAGTTATTAATAGATTTTTGTTTTTGATAAGAGGCACGACAGTGAATTAATAAGTCTGCCTAGTAATGAAATAAAAAGTATCCTTTATATTGATCTATAAGAGAAGAATAAATATTTCTATCTTCGTTTCAAAAGATTAAGTCTTTGATTTATTTTAAATATAATTCTATTAATAAAAATAAGCTTAAATAATAAAAGATATTTAAAAGGATAGGAAATAAATATGTAATGCCAATTGTGGCATCACATATATCCCCACTGGACACAGAAAAAAAAATGTAATATTTTCACATGTAATTATCACAGTGATCTATGTCAAAATAATCACCATGTTTTGGTGCCTTTCAGGCAACAGCAATTTTTAAAAAAATCACAGTCGAGGAACAACTCAATTGGCTTATTAGCTCGGGGATATTTCCTTACCGTAATCTGTCGTGTCAACTACAATCACCAAATGAATTTTAAACTTTTATATTCTTTTAAAAAGCATCTAGAGGTTTACCAAATGGTAACTATGAGTTTCAAGTTTGTTTCCTTCTGTGATGCTTTTTTTTAGTTATTCGTGAACTGCTGCTCGGAAGTTGCCAAGAGTTTGAGGTTATTCTGCTGTAGATTATGAAATGGAAATCTACTTTAGCTTCCTCAGGCAAACCTCTATGGGTTTCTTTTATACTTAAATTACAAGTTTAAAATCCATTTGGCGGTTTAGCGATATGGAAATATAAAACTAAAATTTCTATTTTGAATTAAATTTTTGTCAGAGCTTAAAGATCAGATCTGTGTGAAGCTCCGACATTTTGAGAACTGCCAATTGCCTACATATTGTTATAAATTAAAAGTAATAAACATTAACTGACACATGTAATTCATTAATAAACTTCCCATAAACTCTTATCTTTCATATCAGACACTGATAAAAAAAATAAGAATTAAAAGATTAATATATACTAAACAAATTACAGAATTTAAAGCTAATTTATTTTTTCTTAAAAATATAAATTGAACAAGCTCATTCACTAAGAAGAAATAGAAATATTCTCGATAAATTATACACAAATTAAGCAATAATTCACACATTGATTAAAAAGGAATAACCAGAATTAAAAATATATCTGGAATAACTTATTGATTACTGGAAGTAAACACAAAGAGTAATTTAAATTTTTTCGAATTAAATAGAAATTTTTTTAGAAAAATCCTTTAAAAAAGATTACCTTCCCCTAGAAGAGTTTTCCATTCCTTTAACATAATATTTATTTTTTTTAAATTTGATTGATTGCTTCAATTCCCGAAATAAAATTAAAAACAGCGATTTCGCCAGCTTTTGAACGTTAGGTCAGAGATTTATTAAGGAAATCATAAAATTAAATGTGACGATATGATGACTTGCATGTTTTCCGTTGAACAATTGTTATAAAACCAATTCTCGATTCAGTAAACTAACAATTACTAAATTACATAACAAATGACGCAACTCATAAGCACAGCCTGAAGAATATAAATTGTGGCTTACAGCTTTCATGGAAGATCAAACAATTTAAGGATTTATTCCCACTTGACTAAGGCAAAACACATAAGCGTGTGATCGCAAGCGCACAAACACAAATAAACCATAGTAGTATTGTGACTCTCAGTAGGTTTGTGATGCCATCTCGGACGTGCTAGCAAACCATAAACTAACGAGTTTAAATTTCTGAGCGTCGTAAAGTATTTTTGCTTTAGTTTATTTTTATAATTGTATATTTTTAAAAGCAATCAAGTATTTTTAAGTAGTGAATTTTTTGCTTTTTATTAGAATAAATCAATGTTATTTGTTATGTAATAACTCAATAAGATGAACTTGAAGGACTGTTTGATGCTTTTCATAAAGCAATATTATGCGTATTTCATAATAGAAAATGATTCAATAAGAATTTTTTTTTTTAAATTTTAAATCATGATTCTTAATAACTATTTTTAATATCATTAAAACGAACCTCATTTAAGTGTATTATTTATTATGTTCTAATATGTAATCAAATATTGGACTTAATCATAGATTTGAAATTAAGAAGTGATACATTTTAATACTGAAACGAATAAGAGACAAATAAAAATTTGTTATATCATGGCAGAAAACAGGCAAATAAAGAAATTTTAATTTTATTGGCACATATATAAAACTGCTATTTTAAAATAGGTTCTAAAGAATTCTTTTAGAATCAAATGATATACGTTTTCATAGAGCAGCAATGATAATAAATAAATTATAAATAATCTAGAAAAGTAGGCTGATTTTTAAGATTGTAACTTTTATATAGAATTTCTTATTTTCAGAAATAAATATCTCTTTTAATTTTTTTTTACTAGTATAAAAAAAAAAAAAGAAGTATTTTCAAATCTTAAGTTTTTCTATCATATAAATTTATTGAGGACAATCTTTCTTATAAAATTTGTTTAAAAAATATTACAAAATAGCGATTGGCGATCGAAATGGGCTGCAGGTGGCGTAGAGCAGAACTCTTTTCCTATGGCAACACTTCACATGCATTCCCCATTAGCGTGTGGAAAGTCATAGAGGAAGGAAGTACGTTAGTTTCTCTCTTGATTTTCATATAGATTAAAATCTTTCAACTTGAAACACTATATGAAACTGAAAACTGCATTAAACATAGTTCTAAAGAAAAGTATCATGGAAATTTTAAAAAATATTTTGTTTAAGTAAAAAGAAAAATTTTAAGAAAAGGGAAAATATCGTAGTACATTCCTATACAACTGAAAAGAGGAGGAGAGGGAAGGGAGAAGGGCTAAAGGCATGAAACCGGTCTCTCCCCAGATGGCGTATTCGAGTGTTGCGATCGCGAATTGATCTGGAAAATTATTAGCATGACATTCTGAGCAGAAATGGTTCAATAATTGAAAAGATTACTCATCGTAAAAGACAACAAAATATTGAATAATTTTTATAAACTGCATTTGAAATGGTCTACAATTTCTTGCTAAATCGTAATTAAAAAAAAAAAATGAGGTAGAAAAAATAGTAAATCATTTTTCCTTTTACCCAATAAGATACATTGAATGAATGGATGGGTGATCGTGTAAAGCTTAGGGTGGTGGCGCTAGTGGTAAAATTGCTCTTTCAAGACTTCCGGGTTAGTGCTTCCGATATATTTTCACGCCGCAGATTGAAAAAACGCGCCATCATATTATTGCATCATATCTTTTGCAGTATTTCACATGTACCGAGTTCTTTCTTTCAGCCTTTAAACTTCAGCATTATCATGTTAATAGTAGAATATTTTCTAATTAGGCTAACTTAAAAAGATCTTTTTAGAGATATTTTGGCGACATTTTATTCAAATGTAGCCAAATAAGGGATAAAATACAAAACATGGCAAACCTTAAGAATTATTCACAATGAGATATTAACTTTCCAAAATTTTTTTTGGCCTTACGACCTCTGAGAATCAATACATTTCTGAAAGCTCTTATGAATGGTACAATTATGTTTAGATTTGAACCCAAATTACAATAACAAAACTGCATAGAATATAGGCTTGTTCACACATCGCCTCGTAGTCATAACATAAGCGGAGGAATACACCGGAAATTTTCTAAATTTCTTCCGGTTTAAGGACGCTTGTTATTGTTTACATTAGTCCACCCATCCATAATGTATACATATGTGTAAACTATTGTTTTAAAGCTTGTTTCTTCCAGACTTATAAGATAAACATAAAAATGGGAATAAATTGAGAATAGCACATTTCATCTGGAGCCATCAACTAAAAATTAAGTTATCCTTAGGATTGCAAAAATCTAAATTCAATTTTAAAGCAAAATAAAACGCTCCATTTTTAGTTTTAGTATAGATTATTATAGGGCAGTTCAAAATAATGAAGAAAAAAAAATAACATAACAATTTAATAATTTTTTTGCCAAGTATGTGCGAAAGGGTATTGCAAGGAGGAAATATTGATTGGATAATTTTATAAACAAATAACATAGAGAAGATTCAAAATATGATGGCAGCAGTTTTTTTTAAAAAAAATTACTCATTGAATATCTTTTTGATTCATTTTTCAAGATTTTCAAATAGGGGGCGGTACTTGATGATTTATTTATAATATTTTCTTACTGATTTGGCAATTAATACTTTATTTTGATTTGGTTTTTCTAACTGTAACTGTAACTATTTTCATTTACAAGTGAGCGTATCATTTTTAAGTCTTACTATGATTACTTTTAAGTTGCGTTAGCTGGTTCATTATTTTTTTGTGTCTTTCAATTCTTGTAATTATTTCCTTTTATTTGTCTATCCATTATGGGATTTTGTCAGTTTTCGTTCTTCTACTGAGAACAGATAGGCTTGTGTTGGCAGGCAATGTGTCCCCTGATGAAGTGCTGTCTTGTCAACACACATATCGTTTATATTTCTATTGCTTTCTCCGGCTTTTGTTATTTTAAATATCTAAAATAGAGAAGATTCATTAATATGAACGAACTACATTGAATAATAATTAAAAAGTTCTCCTCAATATTTTCTAATTAACAGAAAGAATCAAAAATTATATCTCTTTCTCCCTCTCTCTCTGTATATATATATATATATATATATATATATAAACTCCTCCAATTC